ACAGCCGTCGCCAAATCGCAGGCGAAAAAATTACGCAGTAATAATGCACACACAGTCGCACACATCCAACGCTTCTTTTGGCTGCTCAAATAACAGCAACAACAAGAGAGAGAGAAAAAAACACTATTAATAACGTCACATTTCCACATCCCGATCAAATGCGACTCAAATCTCTGTGACGGCGTTGCTTTCTCTCTCTCTCTCTCTAGTTCTTTGTTCTTTCTCCATCGGTGAATTTGAAATTGTTGCTGATCTCAGATGCGTATGCCGTGCAACGTTTTATTACATTTGCTGCGTTGCGTTATAGCATGTGAAACAATACGCCGTAATTCACAGATGTGCGGTCATTTGAAATTGAACTTTCGTCGAATGATCAATGTCCACAGGGCTCAAGCGAAGCCAGCACACACACACACATAAAAGCATTAATTACAATTACTCGAACATTTGGCTTTGCTTCTTTTTTCAAAGGGTTCTACATCGTATGGTAATCAAAGAGCTTTTCTCTCTTTGATTGAATGCGACAATCAATTTTCTAAAATACATCAACCATCGCTTGGCCTTTGGATCATCCAGAAAATCTTCGTTTTGGTCTGATTGGTCGGGGGATATATATTTTCGTCGAAATGGAGATTAAAGTATTTAAATTTTTCATTTGAGACTCGAGGTTCAATTGGATATATTTCGTTTATGATTGTTGATTTAATATTTTTCTAGAGAAGCTACAGTGGGCCCTCGCTGTTTCTAATAGATTCGGGTACATTACAATCAAACTGAGAATATATAGCATTTAATCACACAGCCACAGAGATACAATGCATCGCATTTACTTAATGCACAAGAGAGAATTTCTGAAGAGGTGGACTTGAATTTTCGATACCATTTCAACCGCGTTCTTGTTTCCGACCACTTTCATTTGATTCAATTAAAGGCGATTTTGCATGGCATGAAACCCAAATCGCCACACTATCTCTTTGGAATTACAATGCAGTAGGCAGAACGACATTTACATATGCCATTGCATTCGAAATCGACTTACAAAAATCGGTTTGAATGCAATTGAAATGCAACGCTATGTCAAAACAATATAATCTATATATATTTCTAACCGAAATATATTTCGGTTGCGAATTACTTTGGAATTGGTTTTCGATTTGAAATTGTGTTGAAAACGAGATTTTTTCAAAATCCATAAAATTGAGCAAAAAAAAAAGAGAAACATTTTGGATACGTCAATAAAAAAATCTGATTGAAATCTGTGAATAAAATTTCAGCATATGTGTATTGTCGTCTGTATCTCGATCGATCGACCTCAGCGCAAAATTCTCGAATTCTCGACGATGCAATGGAATTTATCGCAATTTATCTGAGATGAGGTGAACCGATTTGTAATGTGATGAAATAATAACAATCATTTTATTTTTCGTTCGGTTCGATTGGTGTGCGTGTGTGTGTGTGTGTGTGTCTGTTTTTCTGCGCGCTATTGAAGAAATAAACTCCTTAAAAAGTTTATGCATAATATATAGAAAAATGACGATTGAATGCGTAATTGTTTTTTATGGCTGGTTTTTGCTATTTCGAACATTCTATAAAGCTACCAAGCAATTTCGTAGCGAGCGTCAATGTTCCGGGGAGTCGGTCGTCATCGTCATCGTTGTCGTTGTTGTCGTGAAAAGGAAAATCACACATCTGCTTACGGCGTAAATGCAATACCAAGTTATTACATTATAAAATTGCGTTCTTTCTAAATAATATGTTGCTCGTTAAAATCAGGCTTTTGTTTTGTCACCCCAACTTTTCTTGTCTTGGGTGTGTATGAGCGAGAGCGTGTGTGTGATTGTGTGTGTATGAGTGTATTGAGTAGGCCTCGGTAAATCGAGTTTTCTGTTTACTTGTGACGACTGGTTTTAGGCGTTTGTGTTCCGTTTTGTTGAGCTGTGATTACGCTGTTTTTTCCTTCTTCTTCTTCTTCTTTTTCTTCTTATTATTTTTCATTTTCAATTCTAATGCTTATTCTGCGCTATAAGGCGCTTGTGAAGCGAACCGAGAAGAGAGTGAAATAAGAGAGAAAAAAAAATAACAACAGCAACAACAACGGCACGGCAGCAGCAAATCAAAAGAAGGAAAACCTCTCTCGATCCGGGCTACATTGTTTGCACACAGTACTGGTGTCATCAATCTTCAAAATTTGAATTATATGCGTGCATGATTCGACGCTGCTGTCGTTCATTTATTTGGCATTTATTTGTTTCTTCTGTCATTCGTTCACCGGAATCAGATATACCTACAAGCGACAATTAAACAAGTAAGTTTCGCTACATTTCTCATATTTAATTTTCTTTTCGCGCTTGTTCTGTATATGTCTGTCTTGTGTTCATTTGTTTCGTCATTTTTGCGTCATTTATGATTAAATACGCAGTATATGTGCGCGTTTTTTGTTGTTGTCATCAAATGCGTTCCCGTTTTTGTGTGTGTTTTCTTTTTTGCAGAATTTTTGTGTCGTTGTCGTTGCTTCTCCTTCACCTCCCATGAAGCTTATTCGCTCGTTTCGTTCTCCGCATTGAACCCTGTCGCCTCGCAAAAGGTGAATTTCTTTGTGACGTAATTTACGTGCATTTATGACACATACACACAGGGAATTTGAACCAGCCTGCACTACAATTCGTTCTCATTTTTTTTTTCGTCGTTGGTCTGCTGTTGTTGTTATGTCATTTACAACATGAATTTTAGCTCTAGTTACCGTTGTTTAACCATCGTGTGGATGGATTGTTCCAACGAAGTCACAGATTTCGTTCGGTTCCCACGACTTTTAATGGTGTGGGGTGGCCAATGAATATTTCTAAAGAACTCTCTCTCAACGACATGACATCTTTTCACAAAAGCTGCACAAATGGCTGTTGTTCTTGTTGCTGTACTACCTTTTTTTGCGAGTGCGAAAAGAAATTCAAGCTCGAAATTCCCAAGCTCGCATTATGATGTTTTTCTTTCTTCGGTACATACAATTCGCATCAAATTACACATTAAATCACTAAAAGTCGTTCTTTTCACGCTTTAATTATGCCTTTTTTCAATGGTGTTCATATCTTATTTCATCGTGTATCACAATTTACTTATCAGCTTGTTTGCATTTTCCATTAAGTATTTTCGATCGAATCCAAATCGCATGGCAGAAAATGAAAACCACCAAATTTGAATCGATGCCCAAAAATAAACTTTAATTCGGTCCATTTCTATATCAATCATAGACATTTTTTTTTTGTATGGGCATGTGTTTTTTTCAAGCGTTGGGCCGGGTCATATATTTTAATTCTTCATTTTGATAAAAAAACGATACCTCAATTAATTTAAGATCAAGCTGCGCCAAAGAAAAAAAAAAATATAGACAAAAAAAAAACAGATTTTCGACTCATCAATTCGGCGAAAAAAGAATTCATAACGAGCGAAGAAAAAAAACCAAACAGCCAATGAAAAAAAAAATCCAGTAAAGAGGTAAAAGATTTCATGGGACTGTGATGAAAGAGAAGACGGCGAAAAAAATAGACATGATCGCATTGAAATCGTGGGCTTAGTTCACCCTCCCTCACTTTTTGTTGTGCGACGCTGTGTGGACGCAAAAATCTATCGCGTCACAGTTGATCACGGTTGTCATTGGATGTTGGTTGAGTGGTGAGAAGCGCGTGTATTTTGCACATAAACACAACGCTCGTTGTGCGCCGATCATTTCTTCATTCGTCGTCGACGCCACAGTTGAGTGAGTGGTTTGGAGAGAGCACAAGAACGAACGAGACAGCGGCAACAAATCGGCGATAATTTGCGCGCGCGACCATGTAGTGGAACAACGTGTTCAACGACTACGAAAAAAATAGGAGGTGCGCATATTTAAATTGCGCAACCCGCAACATTCGTATACACATTTGCCGCTGCTGCTGCTGCTGCTGCTGTGGCTGCTACAAGTATAGAGATACACGGCTTTTGATTTGTAGTTGTCGCAAGCAGAGATAGAATGAATCGATCTTCGAAGCAAAAAAAAAAAACTTATGATGCATTCAGAGATTTTCTCAGCAAATACTCTGATGCTATTTGTTTGTGATAATTTGGCGTACAATTTTTCATGTGCGATACACACACACAAACTCACGACTACGGCAACTACGTGCAGAATTCATTTACATCAATACACATGGATGTATTGTCATCGAGAGCATGCAGCACGATTGAATCGTATCGCGTTTGTGTCTTCGGTCTCGCGTACATGCAATTGTTGTTCATCCATCTCTATTCGGTCAAAGCAGCCAAATGAATGGCTAAGCAATGAGCCAAACTATTAGGCGAAATGAAGAGAAAAAAAAACAACACATGCAGCTCTCACTCCAACCAATGATTGTGTTGCGATGCCTTCATTCATTGATGTGTACAGAAAGTGTGTGCGTGTGTGTGTATTGTCGAACGGACACGAGTCACATGGAACGGACAACGAATACACCGAAATTCCCATGCAATACGCATACCATTCCAATGCGCTCTCGTCGGCTGCTTCTGCTGCTGCTGTTGCTGTTGCTGCTACTGTCGAAGGAGAGAATCGAAATGAAGAAGAAGCATAAGAAATCAAAATCGTTGGTGTAACCGATATATACACAGATGTAATGCGTCGGATGAGACGCAACACACAACTGTTCGCTCTTTTTCCACTATGGTGTGTGGTGGCTACATCGAAATGCCACCACACAACTCAGCAGCAGCAACAGCAGAAGCATACACAAACATCGGAGTTGTTGCTTGTGAAAAAGAAGCATGCATCGCATCGCATCGCATACATGCAACGCCGCATACTCTCACACTCACTCTTTAGCAACGTACAACGGCACCGAAACTGAACTGTCAGGGCCTGAAACGCGTTCGCCTGCCACAGCGTACTGCTGCTGCTGCTTCTGTTGTGTGTATTTTCTCCCATACTCGCCCTACTACACTGTACTCGAGTACTAGTCATGAAATTCAGTATCGGTTTATACACACAACCGACAAGATCGACCCATGCAGAAGATCGTATCGGTTCTGTATGTCTGTGTCAATTCAAACACAATAATAATTTTTTCTTTTTGGTTTCGTTCATTTTTCTCTCGCTCAAAATTTTGATTTTTGATTTTGATTTGAAAATTCGAAACTAAACTCTAATTTATTCAATAAAAACGTTTCCAAGAAATTTCAAAAGAAAAACAATCGTTCTCTATTTTCAATTGTACAATTTAAGTTTATACATAAACAACAATACGAAAAAGAAACACAAATCACACACACAACAAAAACAATATAATATAAACCAACTAATCTGCCGAATCGAAACCAAAAAACAACACTCAGAACTGTTCTCGCGAGATAGATGTTTGTTGATTTGATCTGCGAAAAAACGTAAACACAACACAAAAAAAACAACTTAAAATTCTTATCATCCGAAGACACCCCGAAATAGTGTGTGATTTCAGGAACAGAGAATTCAAGGCGCATAAATTTTGTTGTCGGTGTTCCTGAAATTCAGTTTTTTTTTTTCAATAGTAAAGTGTGAGAAATTTCGCGCGCAAAGAACAAAACGTCAACCGAAACGAGTGTGAGTGATATTAATTGATTCGAATTCTATGGACCATAATTGACAGAAGAAAACAAAAATTTACCGTTTTTTTTTATTTGCTACACAATTCAAGTGCACTTTGAACATCATACACATATATAGACTATAACACAAATCATTGCCAAAAAAAAACGCAAAACAAGAAAGAAAGAAAACGAAGCGAAAAAAACGCCGTTTTTGTTGGTTTCAAAATCACGCGGGTGATAATCTAGTGAGAAGAAGAGTGTGAACCGAGTACTTTGATCGCAAAACGCGCGCACCACACCAAACAAAAAAGTAGCGGAAGTGGAAACGACGCACACACAAATCTGGTGTCGTCATTTTGTGTGAATTGAAGAATAGAAGAAAAAAAAGAGAAAAATTTCGATTGAATCAGATTGAAAACGAAAAAAAGCGATCAATTGCAAAATCAAGAGTGTGCGCCACAGTTAAATGTGTGTTAAAACAAATCGAATGTTTTTCGTTTGCATTAAAATCGAGAACGAGCGCGCGCATTTGTGTGACACTTTTTGAATCCACCGTGTGTTGTCAATTGTCATGGGTCGCTTAATCAAAGTGGTAGTTAACAATTGGTGACTCAAAAAAAAAAAAACGAACGATATTTAAATAAACCACAATTCCAGAAGTGTGTGTCTATATGTGTTATTTGGTTGTGTGTAACGAGAAAATAAAGACAACAACACCAAATGAAACGTAATACAACTCGAAAAAATATACAGAAGAAACAACCAAACAACAACAGCCCAAAAAATAACAACAACATTTGCTTCTTTTTTGGTCGAATTCTACGCTATTATTTAATGATAATCATTACAATTTCCACTTAAGACTATAAGCAGCTAAAGCAATCGTAATAATAACAGCAATCATTTTAGTAAAAACCAAACTAAAAACGATACTTTGTCCGTTTCCAACGCCTGTCTTTTTCGGTCTACAAACACACACACACACACACACACAGTTTACTCATAAAATACGCTTCGAATCATTTTTGAAATCATCGCAAAATCTACGAAAAATCTATTTAACACATGCAGAACAAGACGGTTTTTTCCTATACGTAAGAATAATAGACTTTAACACACACACAAAAAAAACCTTCAATGAATCGGTGATTTTCTTATTAAAACTCATCTTATAATATTTATACACAGCTTGTAAAACACAACGATCAAAGCTAAGCAAAAAAAAACTTTTCTCCGATCTTTTTCGCCAAAAACAATCAAACAAAATATTTATACAATCGTCGCGCGATCACAAATCCAATTGCAGCACAATTGAGAACTTAAAAAATACAACAACCGAGAAATGCATATATATTTTTTACATAATTCAACAACGGTAACTTTTTAAAACTTATTAAAACTCGCCCCCCTTAAGTCCAATTCAGTGATTATCCTCCAAAATACTTACTTCTTAAGCAATTTGCCAAGTAAAAAAAACGAGATTTAAAAACAACAACAAAACCTAAATTTAAAAGAAAAATTTCATATTTAATCATTTACCGCCCTTAAAATCTACTCACAAGTAAACAACTTTTATATAAATTGCTTTTGAAACATCGCAACAATTTACTTAAAAAAAAAACAACTAAACATATAAATATTTTGTGAATCGAAACGCTTATATCAAACAGAAAAGAAGAGAGCAGCTCAAAGCGAAACCGTTTTAGAGAGCCTAAACTAAAAGAAAATACACTTACAATTTAATAATACACAAAAAAGTGGTGCAAATTCAGGAGTAGATTAAGGCAAAGAATGAATATTTTTTCGTAAAATAATCGCACACATATTCGAAACAATACATAAAGTTAGTGAACAGAAAGAGAGAGGGAGCGATATTGAAAGAAAAAAGAGAAGATATCGGAAATGTGTAATCGATGAGCACGTTCTAAAAAGAAAGAAAAAAACGAAGAAGAAGCAAAGCAACCGTTTGAAACGCCAACTAAGTGTCTTACATACGAGATTATTTTGTTTGTTTTATTAGTTTTTCATAGTCGTTGTTCGGACAAAAACGTCGTTGTCATTGTCGTCGGTCGCGATCGTGTGCGTTTTCGTGTTAGACACAAAATAGATAGAAACGAGCCGAAAGATTTGTTGTCTATTCGTGTGACAGACAGAGAAAGGAGAGAGAAAAAAATCAACAAACTAAATAGAAGAAGCACAAAAGTGATAAGAACGAGAGAGAATTTGTGCGAGTGCCAGTGGTCATTTACTTGAACCCCAAGAAACCGATACAATTGCGATTTGAACGGCTCACTCACATACAACCACAACAGTTAGCCGAAACTCATTTCACCATACATTGTTGCTGCTACTGGACGAGCTATTTGACAAATTTAAAAAAAAAGCATCGTTGGTGGTAAACAATAGCCAAACCAAACGCAATTTTTGTGCATGTAAATGTCAAAGCCTACTGGAGCGGCCGCAAATACAAACGACAGCAACGCAAATATTCTCGCACATAAACATTGGGCGCGTCGCGACTGTGTTGTTGTAACTGTGTAGCTCAAACATTGCTGATGATCATCGCATTGTGTGAATTAATTTCTCTCGCACAACGATTCCAAGCCGAACATACACTGAAGACGGAATTCAAGCACACAAATACACATCAAATTCATTGGTAATTCATTAATCTAATCGTAAAACCGCTGAAAATTTCGCCTTCATAGGAGGAAGAAAAAAAATCACCCGAAAAAAAACAGGAACAACATTTTGAATTTTGCTAAGAGAGTGAGTGAGAAAGAGAGTTTAAATATAAATAATTGCGGAAAGCGCGTGATTGAGAAAAAAAAATTTAGTGTTTTGTGAACAAAAGAGCTTGACATTTCAACTGCAAACCACCATCACCAACAACAACGCTGTGTCAACAATCGGCTTCGTCATCATTGCACACACACACACACACACACACACGCACTGAGAACGAAAAAAAAAGCGAAACAACCACGCGAATAAAGAGCGCTCGCCCCATAGAATCCAGTGTGTCGCATCGTAAATCACGCACATGGATTTAATTGCACTACTCGACCAACCGAAAGGAACACATTTATTATCTGTATACGAAATTTTGCCTCGTTTGCGGAAACTGTAGAGGCCAACATCATTACCATAGTGTGTGGCAAAGCGACAACGACCAAAATAAAACAAAAAAAAAATTCGGTATAATCATAGTAAAAGACACAGTGAACGAAAAGAAACGAAGAAAACAACAACGAATAATAGATAGAGAAATAGAGGCATAAAGCAAAGAGTAAATCGGCTGAAGAGATATCACAAAGAGCCAACAGAATTGCCGAAAGGAGAACAAGCAGCCAGGAGCAGCAGAAAAGGAGCAAAAAACAAGAACTAAACTACAACCACGACATCATTACGATTATCATTCGGTAAGTGTTGGCCAAGTACCAAAAATAGATATAGAATTTTTCGTAAAATCGACCGAAAAACCAGAAGAGAGCCAGCACCACCACCACCGCCGCCGTCGTCGCTAAAAAGCAAAATGTTCATTTTTATAAATTTTATATTTAATGCATTTTTGCCCGTGCTGGTGCTGCTGGAAAAGCGCCCCTTCGTATCGTATATTATAGTATGTATGATCCCGGAGCAATATAAATGATAATGGGTCAATGCGTTTCCAATTTTTAATGTGTTGCCACCACACATACAAACACATACCGACCGCTCAACTGGCTGAGACATTGTGGATGAATTTTTGTGCGGTATGTGAGTGTGGCGGTGGCCAGTTTATTCCATACTCGCACTCATTTCATCGCTTCTGCATTCGGATTAAACACACACAATTGTGTGTGCAAACGGGCAAAGCTCATCGCGAATTTTGGGGAGGCATTTCTGATTTTATTTATGTGCTCCCGTTTGTGTCGAGAGAAGATCAACAAATGAACTTGGCGACTCCCGAACCATTGACTTTTCGATGTAACGATGAGGTTTACTTTTTTTTCGTTCTTTTATCCAATCGTAAATTGCTTCCGATTGATGTGCAGAGAGGAGATAGAAGAAAGGAGAAGAAGAATAACAACGAACATAGAATGAAATGGAGGAATCTAATGGATGGATTTGGCGAATGGTGATGGTGGTGGTGGTGGTGGTTCATTTCCACCACAAAAATATATCGCTGTTCGAATAAATGCACTGAAGCCGAAATGTGAGTGTGTTTGCTTGAATTTTTTTTAGTGCATTCCACAATGGCCACAGAATATATCCGTATCTTTAGCCCATTCTCTATTCCATTTCATTTGACTTATATTCATCCGCAATGCAGACGAAAGAATGAGTTCTCGACTACCGTATCAGCTCATCGAGCCGAATTCAATGTTGCGTTCTCCGTGTGTTTTTTTTTTCCATCCATGTATGGACGAAAGAAAAAAACCAGCTAACGAAAGAAAGGGAAAAAAATATTCAAAATAAAAAGAAACAAAGGCTATGCTTAGCGAATAATTTTGCATATCCTCAAAAATAATCCTCTGGAAAATGTAAAGAAAAAAGACACCAGACACAATGGCCCAAACCGATACGCCAAGATGAACACATCAAATGGTGGTGAACTATTTTTTTCTTCTTGCTGAGCACATAACCGAAAAGCAAATTATTAATGCATTTTTTGTTCGGCGATTGGAAAATCGCAATTCATATTGAAAACTTAAGCCATAAAAATCATTTCACACATTTTCAAGCAAGATCATTTTCTTGGAAGTCTTGCTGCGGTTACTGTTGCCCCGCTGCATAAGCGCTCAATTGCTCGATTTCCAAAGGCGGCCAAACGAACAGAGAGGGAAAAAATTAGGAACACAGTAAAATAGGATCAGTAGAGAAATGTGCATGGCCACCTAAAAATATGAAGGTTTGTCGTTCAAGTGTTTAACTTTTGACCGCATGTAGCGTAAACTTTATTATGCACAATTTTTTTTTTCACGCTCTCTCTCTCTCTCTCCCTCCCTCGTTCTTTCTTTCTTTCCCTTTTTCTTGTTGGAATTCATACGAAACGCACGCGAAATAATGAAAACACATACACTCGGGTGGAAAAAACGAAGCGAAGAGTGTGACAGCGGTGAAAATAAAAACGCATGCCAGCCCAAAAACCGCTCCGAATGGTTTGTCTTTTTTGTTGTAAGTGCATGTGCGGCATGAGAGAGAAAGATAGAAAAGCAAATACACACAAAAACTTACATAAATAATCGAAACAAACTGAACCACAGAAAGAAGAACACACACACAAAATGTAAAGAAGAAGAAAAACAGTGAACAGAAAGAAAAAGAAATGATTTGGTGTAAATTTGCAATTTTGCATTTAATTTAAATACAAATACGATGGCTTCGTTTTCATTTTCATGTGGCTGCGCTTTGGTTTCGCGCGCAAATAAGCGAGTATGCGCGATTGTCTCTAGGGGCTCTTCTTTCCACAGTGTCCAATACACAGTACACATCACTGTATCTTTTTCTTCTATTTTTTGTTCGGTTTCATTATTTTGGAATCGTAGATCGGCTATTTTCTTCGTCATTTTTCCCTGTGTATTGTATAACCAAATCGAAAAGAAGTGAAGCAAGAAGCACACACACGAAAAAAAAATCGTGCTATTTTATTTTTAACACGCTATTCAAATGGGCTGGATTTTGAATAAAAAGAAGTAGCGGCGCGAACGAGTGAGTGAATTCATTACAATCACAACACGATTGCCGCAAACGCTCACAAACACCGACTACGGGTGCGCTCAATTTGCATTTACATTTAAATGTGTGCGTGTGTGTGTGTGGTGTTGAGCTAACTTTGGGAATGAATTACAACAAAATATCCAAAATATAGCCGATTTTTTGGTTTGAAAGTTTGCAAAAAAAAATGAACACGAAATCACAAAAAACCCGTTGTCGATATATGATTATCACGCACTCATTGAGGTATTTTTTTATGACGTATGCTCGCGCGCCAGTCTTTTGTTTTGATTATTTCCATTCCGATTCGAACAACAAGAGAAAGAAGCAAACGAAAAAAAAACGACAAATTGCGGTTTCAACAATCGAACCAATTGCAGACAATATGACACAACAACGTCAGCACTTTATTAATGTCAAATTGTGTACACTTATGATTACTCTATCATAAAGTGGGTTGCGATTGAAAAGTGTCTGTTTCATTCAAACAAGATCTCATCTCTCTTGCGAGCAAAAAAAAAACAAACATGTGGATGACTTTTTTTTCTCGACAAGATTGAGAATGGGTCTCACGCGCGCATAGAGAGTTTTTTTTAGTGTGATAAATTTCTAATGAAAATCAAATCACTTTCGTGTGCGAACGTCGAATGAGTGCGACCGACCAACCGACCGAGTGAGACGGTGTGCTCGCGACACGCTTCCACGAGGATGGAAAATGTGTTAATGTACGAGTACTATTCCATACATTGAATGTGTTGATCTTTTGGGTTGACTCTTTTTTTTCGTTTTGTTTGTATTTTTATTCATCGTCTTCAAACGAAACAAAAAATAATGTTTTTAAGCAAATTCACAATATCACACGTACTGGAAAAAAAAATCAAATTTTCGAAAGGGAAACATGCCAACAACCATCAACAAATCTTAAATGAAAAGCGTTGAAAATTAAAACCGTACGTATTTAAAGAAAGAACAAAAAAAAAACGACTCGAAATGAGTATGTGTAGTTACACGACTATGTGTTGAGCTTTGTGCGCTGAACTTTTGAACTATTCCTATATGTATAATGGTTATGGTTATTTTTTTTTACTCTTCCCATTCGGTTTCGAAAATAGCCGATCAATCGAAATGTAAAGGCGAACACAAACACTAACGCGGTCACCCGCTTGCCCGCTCACTCACTCGCTCGCACATCGGACAATGAAACAAAAAGGAAATCTATTTATTCATGTGTATGAAAGCAAATGGGCAAAATGGAAATACGAAACACAAGAACCTAGAATCACTGATTTGATTATTATTATAATTGTTCGTTCGATTGAATCGCATTAGTCGTTTCGTGGATTCGTTTAAAGGCAGTAATAAAGAACGGGTGAGGGAGAGAGCGAGTGAGAGACAGGGGGATAGAGACAGAGAATGTGTTCGGGCGTGAGTGTGTTGCAACGAACGGCGATGCTGACCGTAATCAACGAAATAATCACTCGTTCTCCGTACATAATAAAAATGAAGAGATTCTTTTTGGCTGTTTTCGCTGCTGCTGTGGCTCTTGTTGTTGTTGTTGTTGTTGGTGGTGGTGGTGCCCGTTTTGTTAAATATTTATTTGTGAACACATCTAGGGACACAACCATTGCCTCTCACTACTCATGTGTAATGAGTGTTGATTTTTTCCCGTTTGTTTTTGGTGCTGTTGCCTTTTTTCGGTGTGTGTCGGTATTTATTTTTTTCCGCCTATACCATTTTCATGATCAAGCTTTTTTATTTAATGCCATGCATTGTGTTTAGAAAACACTAATAACATAACAACAGCAACAGCATCAAAGTCTGTCGCTCTCGCTTTGTTTCTCGTGTGCGAGCGCGCGTATCTCGTTTTTCGATGACGATTACGACGACAACGGCCACGACAACAACAACAAGAGAAAGAAAAATACATTCAGTCGTGTGGCATCGTTCTCATGAGTGAGAGACATATCAATCGGGGTCCCTTCCAATGTGTACACACATTTTAATACGTCGTTTGAGTAGTTTGCTTAAATGGACGTTTCGATGATGTCGTGTCTCGGGTCGGCAAAGACAATCCGTACTCGCAATCACACAAATTGACGTCGCTCTTTCTCTCCCTCTCTCTCTCTCTCTCTCTCTCTCTCACTCGGCTTATGACACCATAGCATGTCGCAATATGATCGAACGGGCAAGTATGTGCACGCTCACGCTCGCCTTAAAACTCCCCACATCAACTCATTGAACAATTAATATTCGGCTGGATGCATGACAACTAAATTGAGATGAAAAAACGAATTGACTCACTGTGCAACCGATAAAGGCATTTTCGAGCTGTAAGAAATTATTATTATTTTTTTCATTTGATTGATTCGAAACTGATCGCCGCCACCACCGCCGCCGCCACTGTGACCGCTCGAACAGTGACAATCAGTGCGCACAACACAATCTAACAGCATTTTCTGTTCGCTACTGAATGTTTTATCTCTCGCTCTTGCTCTCCCCCGTTCTCTTTCTCTCCTTCAAATAATAATGATGAAAAATGTTTTCGTTACGTTCAAGGCAGACAATGGCTCAATAAAATGTTTCGAATCGCATTCCGTGAATTGAATCTTTGCAATTAAATGTTTTCGTATTTGATTTTGTTTTTTCCTTCTCTTTTTTTCGGTTTTTTTCTTTCTCGGGCCGTTGCAATCCAAAGAGTCACATTCATTTGATGAAGTGGCCATGTGCACGCCGCGCGCGCACAGAATAACACTCTCAAGCACACACACAATCGCCCGTCTATATCATTGCGTCGGCCCCGACAGGTTCGACACTGATATTTTTGTGGGAAAAATTGCGTTATCGATTTTGATTAATCATTCACTTCTTTCGCTGCTTCTTTTTTATTTCAAATATATTTGTATACATTGACTACGATTCGATTCGATTCGATTCGGAAAGTAACGTAAATTGATCGTAAACTTATGTACATCAACCACTTTGAAAAGCCCTCAAAACATCAAGCATGCAATTTATACCGTTGTCTAGTTGTTTCGTGTGTGTGTGTGTGTGTGTGTGTGTGTGTTTTTTTCGGTCTTTGTCTTTGTTTTTGTTGATTTTATTTTAATTTATTCACATTTCGCGACGATTTTTGAACAATGAAAATTTGTAATGGAAATGATGTGTTTGACTGTGACCATTTCATTTCAAATGTCGCTTGAAAAAAATAACACCAATTCTCTCTCTCTCTCTCTCTCTCTCTCTCTCTCTATAACACAATACAATCTTTATTCTATATTTTTTTATTGACTTATTGTTATCGAAATTAAATCACAAACCACATTGAACATGCTATCGTCGCAAAAAGCAATGGAAAAATTAGAAATCCAACAGAAACGGAAGCATTTCTGTTGATTGAATGAGATGAAATCGGAAAATAGTATGATCGGTTTTTATTGTTTTTCATGGCACGGTAAAGCTAAAGACAGTGCTAAAGTGACAAGGTTTTGGGGCATTTAAGTAACCGATTGAATACAGCTCGTTAAATACAAGAGAATCGCGTACGAGAAATGTTCACATTTCATCAAAGATGATTTACGAATCATCTGCTTAGTCAGTTTTACCTGAGGTGTTGAAACCCATAAAAACTCTTTCTCTCTCTCATCAATTTGGATTCGTTAAATATTTTAATCTGCGCTACATTTACCAAGAATCGTCCATCGAACTTTATGTGTTTGTTTCATTCGCGAGGTGCCGCCGTACAAATTGGTGCAGAGAAGACGAAAAAAAAATTCAAACGAACGGCGAAATATAATTGATTTGGAAATAAAATGTCAAAACGGAAATTAAAATCGCTTGCGATTTACTCGCTGCTGATGATCATTGGGTATATATATGCTAAAGCCATGATAAACAAATGTTTACATACAATGGTTGCTGTTTTTTGTTTTCGTTCTTCATCAGCTTAAATGTTGTATACATGATTCGCCTAGAAGTCGATGCGTGTGTGTGAAGGGAAAAAACGAGAACCACGCGATAAAAAAAGACAACGACGAAAAAATCTTTGTAGATGTGTTTTGAAGAAAATATCCATCATTTGAGAAAGAGAGCGTTCGAGACAGAGAGTGGGTGAGAGAGAAACAGAAAAATCAAAACAAAACGAAACAAGAATTTATGTCCGCTAGGACTAAACAAATCATCATCAATATACTACGAATGGCCACTACATTTTTTTTTCTCTCTCTCTCTGCATCGCCTCTTGTGTGCGTTGTTTCGTTTGTCATTTTGATTGTTGGCTTTGTTTTACCTCTGTTTTTATACTTGCGATGAGCTCGTCGTCTTCTGATTCCTCATGTTGTTGTTTTTATCTTTTCGGTTGAAATTTATGATATTACATTAGCTGGGAATATTATATTTGATTTTGAAATAAATGTGGACGAAGTACACGCCGATTCAAGCGAATACACACACACACACATAGATAAGTGTGTGCGTGTGTGTGTGTGTGTGTGTGACAACGATGATAAATTTTTATCTCTCAAAACTGGACAAATACATCCAAGCAACGACACACAACAGCCACGAATGAAAATAAAACGATATGTCGTGCATGCCTTCTTTTCTTCACCGCATACGGTTGGTATTGGTGAATTTGTCGTATGGCAGCAGATTACTCGCTGCTGCTGCTGCCGCTTTAATTTGTGCTTTTTTTTCATTTCCAATGCGTCATTTAATTTTTTTCCCTCTGTCTTATGTGTTAATGTACACAGACAATACGGAGTGGAAACAGGTTCCGCGATAAAACAACCTGCTGCTGCTGTGTCACAGTATGCATGGAAATGTGTAGTATAGTATATTTGATATTTTTTTCAACAGCGACTATTTAAAAATTAAAGTATTTTTTTCAACCAAAAACACATTTCGAAACGCACCGTATAACAAACCACAATACACACTTAGATCAATTCTCATCATGCGTTTGTCGATTTCAATTCACGGACCAAGAAAAAGCCAGCAAAACACCAAACCAAAATATATCGATATTGTTGTGTGAAACGAGAAATTGAAGGAAAAAGTATTCAATTTCGTTGGTGTTTTGCTCTGGTTCGATTCTTTCCCTCTCCCGCTATCTCTATCTCGTGTGTAGCTCATAAATTGTGATCGCTGCCGATGTTCCGCGGAGTCAGTGCATGCGAAGAAGAGTAGAGAGAGAGAGAGAGATTGCAGGCAAAAGAGAAGCTAATCGCTTATTACGACTATTATCGTGTAATTTATTTACGTTTTCGTTGTTTGGTTTTATTTTTAAGGCACATCTTTCGACATACACTTTGACATTATCACGCGGAACGCAATACGCATCAACATTGGCCGATGGTCCAATCAATAGAGATCAGGTAATACAAATATCGCGTGTATTTCTTCACTAGGTGTGTGTGTGTGTGTGTGTGTATCGGAGGCTCTTTCTTTTCTATCGCCAGGTTTGAATTGAGAGGGAGAGAGAGAGAGTGCGCGGGTACTCTATCGCTTGTCGGCGGCAATGGTGACCATGCGAATGAACGATTCATTATTGAAGTATTCTATCGAAATCGTGCAATAACGCGCAAACAAAATAAAGCGCGCAGATGAAAAATCGAAATTCCCACGAATCTGGTTTCCGTACACAATTTTCAAATCCAATACACGCAGTGAAAAACACAGTGTAATAAGATTGAAACTGAGCAGGCGAAAACCAATGGGAAAGAAGAGAAGAAAAAACAGACACATACACACAGGGGGGGAAAGAGACAAATGTGATGGAAGAAGATCGAGAACTGAAGAGAAAAAGCATTGACGTTTTTTTTTGCTCTTTCCTTCGCTGTATTCCATTTGCTTCATCTATCGCTTTACTCACATAAAATACGAGTTTACAAGTATGTGAATGTATCGATGTGCGCGATCTTTCTTAACCGATACTAAAATTCTGAATATGTTTTTTTTCTCTCTCTCATCTTGTGTACACTGCCGCTTGGCCAATTTCTCTCTCTCTCTCTCTCTCTCTCTCTCTCTCTCTGTCGCCTTCTTGCAATATTCTGATGCTACAATTTGCTTCTTCATTGATATAAATCTGTAAACACAATCAGTATCGGCGTGGTTTTCTTATGCGGTTCTTAACACTGCTACATACATATACACACACATTTTTTTTCCTTCCCTTTCTGGTTTCCTCTTGCTGATAAAACGACAACGACACAAGATTAAATGCGACCAACACACAAAAGGCAGAAGCAACAACAACAACCAAAACATACACACAAAACGCGCATTGCTGCCGCGGTTTTTTTTCATTCCTTACTCCCTTCTCTCTTTCCCATTCTGCTGCGTGGTTGTTGCATCGAATTTAATGCACATTGCACGCAAAAATGTCTCCAGCGCTCACATAAAACATTCATTGTTTCTCAAGATATTTTTGCTCTTCAGTAGTAGCCGCAATTCGAACAACAACCACTACAGCGGCCCAGGATTGAAATAAGAAAAAATAAAACCAAAAAGGAAAACATGACGAAGAAATTTGCAGGCGCACGGTTCTTCAGTTGTGTCTACTTCTGTTTTCTGCCGTCATCACTATCGTGGTCATCGTCATTGTCAATTTGGTCGTTTTGTTGCTGTCTAAGCTTTTTGCGCGTTTCGTTCTCTGTCTCTGGACCCTATCGCAGTCACAAAGACTCGCGAAGCATTCTTGTGTCAATGCTTAGAGAGCGAGCGGGATGAGTTTGCGAAACAATCTGCAGTAATCGATGAAGACAAAAAAAAACCAACAACAACACTGAACACACTCACTTTGTTTGCACAGAACACGGCCAAGTGAGTGCTGCAATGTTTTGAAAACAAACGTTCAGCACCCTATCAATCACCCGATGTTCCATTCACATTTTGCGCGATGTGAAAATTGTTCTCGATCTTGGTGCAAAAAGATTACGATGTCCCTCATTATATTTTAAGCGATTACTTTGTGGCTTACGTATATGTGTATTTGCTCCCCTCTTTGTCCTTCAGCCACACATTTACACACACACACATTGAACACTAAAAACGGCAGCCAATTTTTAGTGATACTGTTTCAATATGGGAAATCGCGCGCTCACTACCTTTTTATTACATCGAAAAACATAAAACAACGAAGCAAGACAGAAAAAAAAGAAATCATATTTCTTTAATAAGTTTGCATGCATATACGCTCCCATATGTCTTCGATGCAATTCGCGTATGCCAACATAATTATACATCATGTGCTGAACGCAGAGCACACCTCAAATTGGTAAGGTGCAATGAATTTGCTGATTTGCTATACACTCAGTTGTAAGAGTGTAATGCAGATAGGGAGATACACACCAAGAGAGAGAGAGAGAGATATAGAGCCCATATACACTCACAAATGAACCGAAAATCGCACCAGGCTGGCAATTCTCTCTGTTTTGAATTTCCCAATGCAATTTTCGTCTCTGTATTCCACATAGCACTGCGGTCCAATGTGCACATATCCAATTTTAATAAGCGAATGGTAGAGCGAAAAAAAATGCATCGGAAGGATAATTTTTATGTGTGTTTATGCCGTTGTTTCGAAAGGTGCATCATGATCATCATCATCATCATCATCACCGTCAACACCCGATCGACATCGGCATCACATACTATTTCCCAATCAATTTATCAGGTGCAACCATCAGCAAATAATTTTCTGTTTGCTCTCAATCGCAATTATAATAATTCTATTACAAAATTGTTTCTTTTTTTTGTGCGCTGTTGTTTTAGTGTACGGTTTAATCGTTTTTCACAGTGGCTCATCTCTGCACACGTTCACGAATTCTGCTGTTTGCATTTTTTTCTTTCTGTTTCGATGGAACGTTGTATTTTTTTTTCAGCTAGCTTGTTTACATGAAAATACTTTATGGGAGAATCGAATGAATGGGAAAAAAGTAACAGCAGCAGTAGCAGCAAACACGACTGATTCAGAAAAACCGTTCGATTGCGACAAATATTATGGGCTTTGGTCCATTGTATCGCATCGATGATGCCACATTCAATATTCGTGCGTTATTTATATCGTTGACCAGAGAGTATTTGTCATTGTTTTGCGGGTATTTGGTGAGTTGAGCTCGTTTGCATCAACAGCAAGCAGCAGCAATACCAAGTGCAACAGCACACATAAACAACCCAAGCACACACAAAATACCCATAACATCCACAACATAACTTAACAGGTTGGTTGGAATGGCGAGAGAGACGAACGACACTGAGAGCGAGATGTGTGTTGTGATGCCCAACGTAACAGAGGAAAACTATTTCATCCGTATCAGCATCGGAATTTCCGAATAGCCTCTCTATCCCTCTCTCGGTACCGTATCACAACAATATATACATACATATAAACCGAAACAGCAGAAGCACTAACATTTGCATAGATCGACGAGATAGATTGCTAGTGTTATAGCCACAGGATATTGTTTTACTATTCGGTTTTTAATCGCTTATTGATGCATTGCGTATAAATTCCGTAGTGTGCCGTTTGTTCGTCGTTTGCGCATTGACCGAACCAAGTACTACACACCGTACACATTTGAATTTCAGAAAGAAGAGAAAAACATGAACACGGCAACAGAGAGAGAGAGAGAGGGAGAGAGAGAGAGAGAGAGAGAGAAAGAGCGAAAGAAGCGAAAAAAATCCATATAAAATATTATTCATTTGTTTCGACGCGCTCATTTTTCCCTTCTAGCGATTTCAACGGCAAAAATGCCATTTGTGGCTTACCACCACATTACGCGCTATCGTTTAGAGCTCATATATATAGTTTTTGAGCTGTTGTTGCTCTCTCTTCCTCACTCAACTAGCTCTCAAGCTCTGTGTTGTCGTCGTCGCTGTTTGGTCTCTTTAAAATGCATTGAAATGTCGTCAAAACCCGGGCTATAGTCATCGTGGTCAATAACAATAATAGTCATCGTCAAAATTTATGCTGATATACAAATAAATATATCTACGGTTCGGATTTTTTTTCCTTTCGTTTGCTGCCCATTTGCATTGACTTCCCAACGAACACGATTGAGTTCACGACTTATGGGCGCGCAATTGAATAACGACAATGACGACTACGACGACGACGGTGAATGTTATTGTGACGGAAATCGACTCGATCGCTATAACATACTCACTCGAACCGAATGAAGAAAAAACTCAAATATATATATACACACACACACACACACACACACACACACACACACCAATAAAAGCTGCACTCAGGTCAGTGTTAGCGTTAGATTCCTGATTGGGCCCCGAATGCGTTGGAGAGCAGTTTGCTACGATTCTGGTTTCAAAAGAGTTCACTCTTGGATAAAGAATTTTCAACAGGTGTTCTTCGACCATATAAATTTCATATAATCAATTTTCTTTCTCCGTCTATCCTCCTTTGACTGCCTCCATCCGTTGTGCATGTCGTTCATTCTCGTTTATTCGAAATCCGTTCCGTTCGGTTCTTGCTTGACTTTAGCCGTGCTGCTGTTGCTGCTGCTGCCGCTTTTTTTACGACTTGATATGCCTTAGCGAGAAAGAATAAACTACCGTCGCTAAACAGCCTGTGCAGATTGTCGCACTTCGTGATCGTCGCATCGGGCGGCAAACCACCACAAACCATTGTAAATTGTACACGTTCAGCCTTATATTCACTTTGGCATTTCTTTCATGCTCATATTCCTTTCTCTTTATTGTGCTCGAAGCGATAAATTTTTATATACACATTTATTGTACTTACGGAGCGCGCTTGCTAAAGTCTCTCTCTCACTCATTTTTCGCCGGTTCTGCTGCTGCCACTTTTTATTTCAAGTAGCGTTTACAAGCGCTAACGATGGTGATGACTTAAGGAAGCGGCAACAAAACAGAACAGTGGTCAATGCAAATAATAAAGATTAAACTATATTTAATAGAGGGACACACTGCATACTTTTTTTTTCATCCACGACGAACCAACCAAAAAAAAAACACTTAAGAACAAAATAATGTGATGGCGGAAAAGAAAAATTCGTCGCCGATTCGATTCAGTCGCCGAATCGGTTCACAAGGATAATAAATTCGTAAAATAAGCGAACGATCGTCGTCGTCGGCGGAGCAATTACATCGTTCATAAAGAATACAATAATTCTGGCTTTGATTGTTGTTGCCAGTCGCCTTCGCTCTCCATCTCAATCTCTCGCTCTTTTTCTGCCTTCGGTCTTCTTCAATATTGCTCATTCGTTTCGTTTACTTGTCTCATTCGATTACAATATATATACTTTTTTTCGTTCTCTTCACTTGCTTCTTATCGCGCTGCGACTTTATTGTTGGCGTTACCTTTTATTCTTCACTTCAAGCAGCATGCAGCGTTTTT